GCTTGCTTCTGGAAGTCTGCAGGCTCCGCAGGCACGCTTTCAGGCGACCTGGCGAGCTCTCTCCAGCTCCTGCCAGAGTGCTTCGAACCAGGCCTCTCAGGCCCTCCAGGCTCCTCGTCCCGGCCCGGCAGGCTCCTTGCCATCCGGGTTTTGGGCTGCACGAGTTTCACTGTCCCGGGGCCTGGCGGGGACGGGGGGGATGCAAAGGGGGGGCGAGAGGTGAGGGAGGGGGGGAGGGGGGAGGGAGAGGCGAGGGATTGGCGGAGGGAGAGGGGGGGCGTAAGCTAAGTGTGCTCGCACCTCGTCCACCTTCTCCCTCCTCGTCCTCCCCTCCCCCTTCTCCCCACAATCCAGCTGAACCAGCCTCCCCAGCGCGCGGGGTGCGCCTCCTCCGCATCCCGGGGAGCCGCTGCCAGGTCGCCCGGGCGCCCCCCAGCAGTCTCCGCCACAGCCTCCCGCAGCTCGGCTCCTGGGGTGTCGACGGCGAGAAGGAGCCAGGCAGGGGGTGCGATGACAGAGCGAAGGAGAGCGGCACGAGAGCATCCCGGGGAGTCGCTCCAAAGGGCCCCTTTCCCGACGGCCGTCCCGAGGTACACGTCGATCATGTCCAATCGTGCTCATTTCGAAGTGTGCTCGTTTCTAGTCGTCCTTGGCCCCCTGGTGGCCAGGAAGCGGCCCAGGACAGAACAATCAGAGAGGAAAGGATCTTGGCTCCCCAAGACACCCGAGAACTCTCGAAGCATCAGAAGTCAACAATGTGTGCAGCCATCCCTCACGAGGATCGTGGCCTCCGAGGGGGGGGCACTCGACTACCCCGCCCCAAGAGGCCCCCAAGAGCCCCCCAAGAGCCAAGACGCCGCCAAGGAGCCCCAAGAGACCCCCAAGAGGCCCCCAGGAGGCCCCTGGGAGGCCCCAAAGAGGCCCCCGAGAGGCTTCAAATGGGGCCCCACAGAGCGCTCGAGGGCCGGCGGAATGAGCGAAGCGATTGAATAATCAGAAGTGAACTTGCCGTCGCTCGGACGTCCATTTCCCGTGCATTTTTCGGTTTCGTGCGTGTTTTTTTTTTTTCGCTCGATGATCCAGTATGTTTTTCGAGGGTCCCCGCCGAGAAAAAATACACACGTCCGAGCGATGACAGGTGAGCAGTGTGTGCAGCCATCGTGCTGCCAGGCGGAGCGCACAAGAAGCACCGACGGGGCTCTTGCCTGGCCACGGCGGGCCCGGGCGGGAGGCGGGCCCCGCGGCAGGAGGCCGGGGCGCGGCCCGAGAGCCCGAGCCCCACCCGCGCCCGAGGCGGTCCTCCTTCCAGCGTCTTGACTGTGCCCTCCTCCTCCTCCTCCTCCTCCTCCTCCTCCTCCGCCTCCTCCTCCTCCTCCTCCTCCTCCTCCTCCTCCTCCTCACCCTTCTCCTCCTCCTCCTCCATCCCCTCCTCCTCCCCCTCCTCCTCTCCTTCCTTCCTCCTCCTCCTCCTCCTCCCCCTCGTCCTCCTCCTCCTCCTCCTCCTCCTCCTCCTCCTCCTCCTCCTCCATCCCTCCTCCTCTCCTCCTCCCCCCCTCCTCCTCCTCCTCCTCCTCCTCCTCCTCCCCCTCCTCCTCCATCCCCTCCTCCTCCCCTCCTCCTCCTCCTCCTCCTCCTCCTCCTCCTCCTCCGCCTCCTCCTCCTCCTCCTCCTCCTCCTCCTCCTCCTCCTCTCCTCCTCCTCCTCCTCCTCCTCCGCCTCCTCCTCCTCCTCCTCCTCCTCCCCCTCCCCCTCCCCCTCCTCCTCCTCCTCCTCTCCTCCTCCTCCTCCTCCTCCTCCTCCTCCTCCTCCTCCTCCTCCTCCTCCTCCTCCCTCCTCCTCCTCCTCCTCCTCCTCCTCCTCCTCCTCCCCTCCTCCTCCTCCTCCCCTCCTCCTCCTCCTCCTCCTCCTCCCTCCTCCTCCCTCCTCCTCCTCCTCCTCCTCCTCCCCCTCCCCCTCCCCTCCCCTCCTCCTCCTCCTCCTCCTCCTCCTCCTCCTCCTCCTCCTCCTCCTCCTCCTCCTCCTCCTCCTCCTCCTCCTCCTCCTCCTCCCCTTCTTCCTCCTCCTCCTCCTCTCCTCCTCCCTCCTCCTCCTCCTCCTCCTCCTCCTCCTCCTCCTCCTCCTCCTTCTTCCTCCTCCTCCTCCTCCTCCTCCTCCAACTCCTCCTCCTCCTCCTCCTCCTCCTCCTCCTCCGCCTCCTCCTCCTCGCCTCCATCCCCTCTTCTCGCATCCTGCTCATCGACACCGCCTGGCGTTTGGCCGACGCCGCGTGCGACGCGTCCTGCTGCAGCTCCGAGTGCGGGCGGAGCCAGCGGCGCTGCTGCAGCTGGCCATCCTCACTCGTGCCGTGCTCTTGGTCTGCGGTCCGGCTTGATGGAGCCAGGCGCGCAGGTTCTCATGAGGATCCCTGGGTGGACGACGTCGAATCGCGGTGCTTCGTGCGTGGGCTCGGACGCATCAGTGGGTAGACCATGCGCAGACGTGTATTTCTCAGGACCTGCACATCACAGGAGCGTCGGCGGGAGCGACGGGGCGAGGCGGCCTCCGTTGCCACGCTCACGGCGCGCACGAGCCGAATGCAGAATGGCCGAAGCCTGAGAACGCAGAACTCAAAGCTGCCCGCGGGTGCAATCAGAAGGGCATCCGACATGCTGTACTTTTGCGTCCAGGACGCACCTTGCTCCACGCACCCACCCCATGACACCTCGCTCGCGCTGCACAGGCGCACCCATGAAGCGCCCAAAGCATCCGACGCCAAGAAGATGCTGAAGTCAGTCCTGGCACCCTGTGTGTTTTGGGGCTTGCCCTCGCAGGGCTGCAGGGGTAAGATGACCGCGCGGAGGCAGCGAGGGCCCGAGGCGGCATGCTCTCGCAGCGGATCCGAACGAACAGGGCGCATCCGTCTCCCCAGGCGGCCCCATCATCGAGTCGATACAGTCGGGCCGCTGAAAGAAGGAACGCTAAATAAGGAACGAAGGCCCTTCTTAGCCCTGTGAACACCTCCGTGCCCCAGGAGGGCAAGAGGAACAGCACTGGAGGAATCTAAGGAACATCGAGCCCCTTCCGAACCGAAACTGCTCCTTATTTCAGCGTCTTGACTGTAAGCCGAATCGGATCGGCCCGAGGCTGACACATCGAACCGACAGAAGTCGGCAGGGACGAGTCGGATCGAGCGGGTTCGAATCGGCAGCCGCGGAAATCGACTCGGCGTCGGAACGGACCCTGGTCTCCCCAGCTGCAGAGGAAGGCTTCGCCTGACGTCTTGCGCCTGGGCTGACGGCCCTAAAGCTGCACTTGTGGCGAGGCCAATGCAAACTGGAGATGCCTGCGTCGAGCTTCACTGCGCTGCGTCTCCTCGTCCTCGCTTCCTCCTTGTCCATCTCCCTGTCCTGCGATCCTCGTCCTCCTCATCCTCCTCCTCCTCCTCCTCCTCGTCACGTCCTTCGTCCTTCTCCTCAGCCTTCGTCCTCGTTCTTCGTCGTCCTCCTCTTCCCCTTCCTCCTCCTCCTCCTCCTCCTCCTCCTCCTCCTCCTCCTCCTCTTCCCCTCCTCCTCCTCCTCCTCCTCCTCCTCCACCTCCTCTTCCCTGTCGTCCTCCGTCCCCCTCGCCCTCGTCAACCTCCTGCAGTTTCCCCTGCCCACGCTCGGCCACTCACCCATCCTGCAGGCCAGGCCCTACACGCAGGACGGGGGACCACCACTGGACGCCGGAGCGTGAATCGAGATGGCCCAGGGCAAGATCTTGATGGTTTGCAGTGGCGCGCAAGAATACAAAGGGCACAGGCACAGACCAAGCTCGCGCACAAAGAGAAGTCCGAGCCCGACACGAAAGTGTATCGTCGTACGGGGGTGCATGTACGCGGATTCCATCTCAAGCCAGCATGCTCCTAGGAGTCCAGATGGCTGCTGGATCAATGCTGCTGCCCGGGGTCTCGAAGCGCTGGCGTCTGGCAAGACATGCAGGACATCGTCCGAGCGACGTAAAACTGGGCTGAGCTGGAAACGATGCACTGATAGGCAAAGCCTGACATCATCGAAATGTGGCAGGGGATCGCTGAGAAGTTTCAGGCTTTGGAAATGGTAGCCGAACGGGGGCACACACTGTGCAAGTGGACGTGCGTGGCGGCCTGATGCCCATCATGTTTGGCATGTTGCGGTGTATAGATAGCTTGACCATCATCAAGGAAGTGCACTTACTCAACCACCTCAGATAATAAGTTCGATGTGCCAAGCGTCCATGAAGCATGCCTGAAAATAAACACCGCGTTTCCCCGCCTACACCTCTCCTGCCTCCACCGTCATGGTCGTGCAATCACCATCACCGCTTCCTCCCCCCTCTCTGGATTGACTGCTTGTTTGTTCACAAATCACGATGCGTGTTTGCATTTTCCAAGAGGCCATGACCTCCCCCCCCTGGTCTCCGCCAGGCCCGGACGAGAGTCCACAGGGGCGGTTCGCCCGTTCGTCGCTCGTGGCGCAGCGCACGACTGCACGCCTCCATGCCCCATGCCCTGGCTTCTCGCCGCGCCCCTGCTCCCCTGCTCTCCTGACCCAGCCACCCCCTGCCTCCTCCTCCTCCTCCTCCTCCTCCTCTTCCTCCTCCTCCTCCTCCTCCTCCTCCTCCTCCCTGCTCCTCCTCTTCCTCCTGCTCCTCCTCCTCCTCCTCCTCCTCCTCCTCCTCCTCCTCCTCCCTGCTCCCTGCTGCTCCTCCTCGTCCTCCTCCTCCTCCTCCTCCTCCTCCTGCTCCTCCTCTCCCTCCTCTCCTCCCCTCCTCCTGCTCCTGCTCCTCCTCCTCCGCCTCCTCCTCCTCCTCCTCCTCCTCCTCCTCATTCCCTCCCTCCCTCCCTCCCTCCCTCCCTCCCCCTCCCACCCTCCCTCCCTCCCTCCCTCCCTCCCTCCCTCCCTGCCCCCTGCTCCCTGCTCCCTGCTCCAGCCGCCACCACACGATCGAAGGAGCCGCGAGGAGCCGCGGGGAGGGGCTGCGCGCCTGCCCGCGACGCACACCTCGGGGGTGGGGGGGGGGGGGGGGGGCGGCCACCGCTCTCTCCCCGCCCCGCGGGCCGCGGGCCGCCCCTGGAGCACCGGGCCCGGCGAGGCCCCACCGGGGCCCTGGGCTTTGCCAGCCCAGCAGGGGCCCCGGCTTGGCCCCCTCGCGCCCTGCAACAGCGCAGGGAGGAGGGAGGAGGGAGGAGGGAGGAGGAGGAGGAGGAGGAGGAGGAGGAGGAGGAGGAGGAGGAGGAGGAGGAGGAGGAGGAGGAGGAGGAGGCAGGAGGAGGAGGACGCAGGGGAGGAGGAAGAGGAGGTGTTTAGCCTTGCCTGGCGGCATGCCAGACCGGGCATGACTACGGCATGTTTGTGTCTTGATGATTTCGGCATTGGTTTCTTACACCGCTTGGATCGTTCAAACTTCAGCGATCGACGGCTTTCCGATCACCAAATCGTTCCGTAGTGGCCGATTCAGGCCAACTGGCGGCGTTCAACCTTGAACGTCCGCGCTGGGGTCGCTACCGCGTCGACACCACACGAACACAGACATCCGACAATGTTTTTTCGATGTGCGGCCCACGAGGTCCCGACCCCGTCCTCGGGGCCAACTTTTCGCCCCCAGAACCGATAACATGCCCAGAAGCCGAAATCGAGGAGAAGCGCAGGGCGAACGCGGGGAGCACGCCCTGACACGACACCAGCCTACCGTACGCGCCAGTACTGGGCTCTGGATGGGCCTGGCCAGCTTGGGCGTCTCCGTTTGGCTGGCACCTCTCAACCTGCAGCTCTCGGGCTCAATCGCAGGGCACTCGCAGAGAGCGCCACGGGGCGCCCCGGAGCCAGTGACTCCCAGGCCGGTTCCTCAACCAAGGACTTCACCTGAGTGTGGCGGCTCTGCGCCCCCTCACAGCATCACTCCCCCCCGCCCTCCTCACAACATCCCTCCTCACCCTCATCCTCCTCTCCTGCGCTTCTTCCTTCTTCGTCCGCCTTCCTCCTTAATCGACCCTCCTCCCCTGCTGAACACATGTAGATATCATGCATACTTACATAATGCATAAGCACATACATACGTAACTAAGTAACGCCATACATACATATATGGAGCTGTGCATGCATACATAATTACTTACATGCATAAAATGAGTGATAGCATGCGTGATTACATACATACCTGCTTAACTACTTACACATCATCAGATCCGGAAGTCCAATGTGATGCTTATCCGCCGCCGAGCCAGCGGCTGCCTGCTAGTGTCTCGGTACTCTTCTAAGGCCCCCCACTCTCGTCGCAGAGTGTCGCATGCTCCACTCCCCCTTTCCGAGGCCACGATCCCTCGCAAAACATACTTACCCGAGGCGCACCCAAAACTCTTTCTCCACGCGAGGCCACTACGCTTCATGGGCGCTCCCTGCACAATAACCTATTGCGAGAGATGTAGCACTCTGGAATTTGTCGCCTGACCAATGTCGGGCCACGCGCGTCGCCGCGTCGCACGCCTGCGCAGGAGTGGGCCACGGAGGACAGCGCCGTGCGCTACGTGCCGTGCTGGCGCTCTGCGCTCTGTGATGCAGCAGCGCCGCGCGCTACATGACGCGGTGGCACCACGCGCCGTGTGGGCGCCCTGCACTCCGCCGTGCCTCCCAGGAGCCCACGGACGTAGCGACAGTTTCGCAGTTCGCAGCCCCCAAGAGAGCAGCGAGGTCTCAAATGATCTGCGCTGCCCTCACCTCCGCCGTGCCTCCCAGGAGCCTGCGAAAACAGTGACCGTTGCGCAGTTCGCAGCCACTCAGGGAGCAGCAAAGTCTCAAATGAGCCCGCGTGGCGCCCGACTCCGCTGGACCTCCCAAGGAGCCCACGAAAGTGGTGACCGTTGCGCAGTTCGCAGCCACCCAGGGAGCAGCAAAGTCTCACATGGATCCGCGCTGCCCTCACCTCCGCTGGACCTCCCAAGAGCCCACGAAAGTGGTGAGTTCGCAGCCACCCAGGGAGCCGCAAATGGGTCCGCGCTGCCCTCACTTTCTCTGGACCTCCCAAGAGCCAACGAAAATGGTGACAATTGCGCAGTTCGCAACCACCCAGGGAGCCGCGAAGTTTCGTCTGGATGCGCGAATACCATTTGGTATAGACAATCGATCCGCGCTCCCGAGCTTCCAAAGCGGCCCAAGCAGGCAACCGAGGCTACAAGAATGGTCCAAGACGCCACCGAGATGGCCACAGGGCGGCCTAAGATGGCCTCAAGAAAGCCCAGGATGCCTCCAAGAGGGCCACAGAAAATCCCACAGCAGGGTCTCGAAACGCCCACGTACTCTTTTTGCCATAAGCTTTCTTAATAGACTTCCGCATTCTCGCCGATGCGGGATGCCGCCAGCTCAAGACGAAGCGAGAAGCCCCAATTCGGCCCAACATGCCCACAAGGCGGCCTTTTGGTGCTCCTCCCGTCTGGCCCGTCAGGGTCCACCCGCCCGACGCACAGTATATTATGGTGCCGCACCGTGCCGTATCCTTAGAATGTGGCATCGTACGCAGTTGTTGCATCCACGATCGCCACACCGTATAGCGCGGTATGGTCCATCTCTGTGGGGGCGAGCAGAAGTGCAGTGTACTGTGGGCTCGGGCTGCTCTTTGGACCCGTGTGGCACTGGGGAGTGCGGCAGCGCGCCACCTCACTTTGCGTGCGAGTTCAGCTTCGGGGACGTTTTCGTGCAAGCTCAGCCGCCCCAGCGGAACTCGCGCCCGCTGAACTCGCGCGCGCTGAACTCGCACGCGCCTGGACTCGTACGCACTGCACTCGCACGGCTGAGCTCGCACGCGACAAGCTGATCTCGCACGCACTGCACTCGCACGCGCTGAACTTGCGCGCGCTGAACTCGCACGCGCGGAACTCGCACGCGCTTCAAATTCCAGCCGGGGCGCGCCGGCTCGCAAGCACGCGCGCGTGCGAGCCTGGCTCGTGCGAGCAGGTGCGTGCGAAGGAAGCTGCCTCCGAGCCCAGCTCCGTGCGAGCTCAGCTCTGTGCGCATGGCGCGAAAATCTGGTTCCCGGCGTGCCCATGCCTGCTTCTTGCCTGTGCCTTTGCCGCACGTGCCGCACGGTCGGCGCACACCCACCCGTGCACCTCTTCGCGGGAGGAGGAGGAGGAGGAGGAGGAGGAGGAGGAGGAGGAGGAGGGCGGAGGAGGAGGAGGAGGGAGGAGGAGGAGGAGGAGGAGGAGGAGCAGGGAGGAGGAGGAGAGGGGAGGAGGGCGGAGGAGGAGGAAGGAGGAGGAGGAGGAGGAGGAGGGCGGAGGAGGAGGAGAGGAGGAGGAGGAGGAGGAGGAGGATTCGGAGGGGCGCCAGACCCGATGTAGGCCTGGGCGTTTTTGGTTGTTTTTGGCGCCTGGGCGGTTTCAGCGTTTTCCAACTTGGCGTCGAGGAAGAAAGAAGAGGAGGAAGAGGAGGAGGAAGAGGAGGAGGATAGGGTACGAGGGTACGAGGCGTGGCGCGCGCGTCCGAGGCCCGAACACGCGGCGGCTAAGCTGGGGGCCAGGGCGGCCCCACCTCAGGCTTCGAACGAGACCTGCCTGAAGAAGAGGAACAGTATAGAGCGACTCCACCATTCCAAAACAAAGGCGGACTCGCGGGGACCTCCCCCAGCCCTCTACCAGCCAGGACTGGCAGCAAAATACCCCCGCGACGGCGGGGGAAAACGACGACACGAGGGCCCCTCAGTTTTAACCCTCGAGAGCCCTCGTGGGGCGAACATCCCAACCACGAGGGAGGAGGAGGAGGGAGGGGGAGGGGGAGAAGGAGGAGGAAGAATGATGAGGGGGAGGAGGAGGAGGAGAGTGCCTGATCAATTCAGTTCGTCCTTTCGATTGCGCTCGTGGCGCCTCCTGTCAAGCCAGAGGTAGAGAATCTCTTGTAAAAAAACAGGTTTTTCAGGTCAGAGGCTGAGAAACCATTGCAAAACACATGTTTTTCAGGTTTTTCAGGTTTTGGGGGATCTATGCGCGCCCAGGTGGAAAGATGCGCAAAAACCTGAAAAACCTGAAAAACATGTTTTTTTACAGGGTTTGCCAACCCTCCGGCCTGAAAAACCTGTTTTTTTTACAGGTTTTGTCAGGTCAGAGGCCGAGAAACCACAGCAAAACACCAGTTTTTCAGGTTTTGGGGGATCTATGCGCTCCCAGGTGGATGGATGCGCAAAAACCTGAAAAACCTGAGAAACCAGTGTTTTACAGTGTTTGCTGACCCTCCGACCTGGAACACATGTTTTTTACAGTGTTTGCGAACCCTCCGACCGAATGACAGAGCCCCCCAGCGGATGCGGCACGAGCAAGCTTCGACCATCCGTAACCGCTTTGGCTCAAGGTTTGATTGGTTCCGCGCTCCGTGCTTCGCGACACCATGGGGAACCCAAAGAAGGGGACACCCGCTTACGAGAAGAAGCTGCACAGCAACAAGGTACGCAGGGCCGCGAAGAGAGATCACGACCTCGGCAACAAACCAGCTGTGGCCAAGCTGGTGAGGGGGGCGCGCGCCGCAGCTCGCAAACCCTTGGTGGACAAGTTGCGCGACCTTGAGAGCGTCCTGGACGCGCGGTCACGCCGCTCCAACCAGCACTACAGGAATATGTACACCGCCCAACACAAAGCCGCAGCGGCAGAGGCGGTTGCCAACCACTGCAAGGAGCAGCTCAAGCAGAAGACGACCGCCCTCAAGGACGCGCGGGCGGAGCTGCGCGAGACGCAGGCTTCCTTGGAGAAGACGGAGGGAAAGCTTCAGAAGGCCAAGAAGGCGACCGAGAAGGCCGAGAAGGCGCTCGAGGAGGCCACAGCTCCTTGGGAGAGCTGGTGGCGGACTCTCCAGGTGCACATGAAGTACCACTTGCCTCCTTGGGCGGCCAAGAAAGTGGTGCGCTTGGCGCGCCACGGCCCGCCCCGCGGCCACGCCAACGACTTGGGCTGACGTGCGCCGCGCGCGGCCTCGACTAGCAGCCCCGCCCTGGCCTTTGGAGCGACAGCCAAAAAACACAC